GGAGGAGGAGGAGGAGGAGGAGCATAGTCCAGCAATAGGGGTTCACCTCATGTCTTTGAAATGCTGGGTATGATGGTACAAGATATACCAAGCACAGCTCAGCAACACAGGTGAGAAAGGAACAACTCAAGAAAGGACAAGCTATGAGAATCGACACTACCATATGAACAGTGCGTCTTTATCCAACAAATAAGCACAAAAAAAAGGGAAGAGGCATCCGTAAACATAAGGAGTTGTCGCCGAGTAGCTGGAAATAGGAGAGGCAAGACAATACCAGCCATCCGGTGACGAGTAGCCAAGGCAGGTAGGAAAGGCGAAGCGACACGAGGAAACTTCAAAAGTTGGAAAAAAAATTGGCAGCAATCATCATAAAGTCTGTATAGCTATTCACCCTACGGCAGGTGAGGACAGTGCGAACAGCTTCGCCAAGCACAACGAAGCATTTGGCTTGGATCATATAACCTATGCGTTGGCAGAGAACGAGAGTTGCACGAGCTGGACAAAGCAGTGGAAATACACAAGTACCTGCAGGGAACCCTCCAGAGGAACACGCATCGCATCGCCACAGCTCGCTCAGGACCTCCATCGTCCCGCTGGCACGTTTTCCGTGCTCTTGCTCACTTCACTTGTCTGCGAAACGAGGTAGACGTATCTGCAATACGGGCCTCGCTATATCCGGAGCTCATAGTCGTCTCAATACATTCAAAATCATGGACCTGTCTGAATGCACCTGGTCCACGAACCGTCCAAATGCATGTAGAATGTTTAGTACTCCAGCGAGGCCCTACGACAAGGAAATCAAGGAGCGCTTGAGAAAGACCCTGTGAGCGCCATGTCAGCCTCTGCCACGCCGGACTCTGGAGTCCCATCCCTGGGACCTTGGCGAGTTCCTAGCACAGACGGGTGGCTTTCATCGTTCAGTTTCAGCACATGTCCAAAGAAACCCCGACCGGCTCCTGGGTGCCCGTACATGCCAAAGACCCCATGAGGTGGGGGAGGTCTCATGTGGGGACCACCAAGCATTCCACCAGGTCCCATCTGTATATGCCCCCCTAAGCCCAGCCCTATATGCATTCGATGCCTTGCTCCAGATGGTCCATGCATCATGACCCCTCTCGCACCGATCATGCCCGTCATACCCGGTCCCATACCCATCACAGGACCCATTGCTCCTGGAGGCGGGCCAAGTCCTGGATGTGCTCCACCCAGTCCGGGTCCGGGTCCGGCTCCACCAAGCACACCAAACTGCGGGCCGGGCTTCTGCGGCGGCATTGGCATGGGCATTGGAACTCGCTTCACAATTGCGTTTGCCGCTGATGGCTGCTGTGATGATGGTAAACCCACTGGACCGGTTGGCGGTGGGTTCCGCGGTGGAGGTGATTTTGGTCGCAGGGCCTCGATCTCTGGAGTTGTACCTAGTAGATGTGGTGCATCCGGTGGTGGGTTTGATCGCCCGCCTGTCCACATTTTCCCGTCATAATCTTGAAAGTACTTGCTGTATGTCTTCATGAAAACGAAGCGCGAGGACAACACAAAGCCACGGAAACAAGGCCAGACAGAGCAGAAACAATGAAGGCAACAAGACACTGACCATACTGCTGTCAAAAACAATGAAGGCAACCAGCCGGCCTAGCTGACTTGGGACACCCATGACTGCCTAAGTACACAGACCCAAGTTCGAGCCCAGATGGAACCAGAAGTTACGGAACGAAATCACTCTGACCTTACCTTGGGCCAGTCAGCTCAGTGATCATTTTTATTTTTTTTTCCCCTTAAAGGGCGATCGCCTTGAGGTATTATCATCGGACTCACCAGCCCAGGTAAATTCAATCTTGTGACTACTTTTTTTTTGTTGTTGTTGTTAATTCAATCTTGTGTCTAATCTAGAGGCTGTCGCCCTTTTCAAGATGGAAAAAAAAAAAAAACGATGACAACCGGAGAATAGGCTGATAATTAAAATATTTAAGATTGGCTAAGTTGGCTTTTCTTTTCTTTTTCTTTTTCTTCCTTCTTCTTCTCCTCTGAAACGGTATTCACCAGCTTGCAGTAGCTGATACAGATCCCAGGGCTCGATCCCTAGTCCCCACCTTACCTGTCTACAGTATCTGTGTCGCCCCCTAGAATTGAACCTGTGACCTGTGTAGTGTAACAGTCGGTAATTGTCACAGGATCCATAGTAGCAGTGGTTCGATCTGTAGACCTGTTGAGTAGGAGTCCCAGTCAGGTCTAGACGTCGTAGCTGTAGTTGTCTCGAAGAATCAAGGTCGTAGCTGCTACAGTCCAGAAAGGTCAAGGTCGTAGCTGCTACAGTACCGAAAGGCCAAGTCTACGGCCTTCCGGAAGATCTAAGTAGTGGCCTTTCGGTGTGTCCCACGTTTAGGTTGAGGCAAGTGGGCAAGTGGTGAGGCAAGTGGTGGAGTCTACCCGTGCTGAGTCAGCAGTCCCAGTCCTAGGCAGTCCTGGTTCAGTCCGGCAAGTACCGCATGGGACTGTGTGCACTTCGGGCATGGGAAGGGGCCAGACCAATGAGCTGCAGAAGTATAAATCAAGAGGCAGCGCCCAGCCATTCATTCATTCCTGCGCGAGCCATGCGGAAGCGCTGCCACAGCGACCTGTGCAAGGAGGTCTGCAGTGAGCCCGAAGACGAAGCGGGCAGAGAGACGAAGCTTAGCCATAGCGATAGGGTAGCGGCGGCCATAGCTGTCATAGCTGTAGTTCGAGTTCAGTGCGTGAGTGTGTGAGAGTGAACAGAGTATTGTGTGTGGGGTATCCAGGGTGATCCAGTGTATGCGAACAGAGAGTTGCGTGGGCGCTGTGTCGCCATAGCCATTTGAAGTGAACTCGTATCTGAGTTGCGTTCTTGGTCGTCATATCTCTGAGTTTTGAGTGGGCGCTTGTCGCCAGTCTTCTGCGCTACTGTTTGCATGCATGTAAAGTGTGAATGAAAGTGAGTCTGATTGCATCCTCCCCCTCCTCCTCATTCTTCCTCTCATACCTCCCAGTTAGTTCCCCTACTGACTACACTTCCATGCGGCAAACACTAATCACCCTCCTCTACTCCCGCTTTCGTTCATCTTATTCTTCATTCTTTACAATCTCAAGATTCTCAATCTCTATTGCTGATTGAGCCACCACATGGTGAGCAAGCGTGGGGCCACCCTGTTCTCTTTTACGGCGGGAAAACAAGAAAAACGAAAAAAACGAAAAAAAGAACAGGGGGGCACACGGCCGACCAGGGAAAAGAAAAGAAAACAAAAAAAAGGGCGCTGCATAGCATGACTGCGACCAACCTCCCCTCCTCCCTTTCTCCTCACCCCTTCTTCTGCCCCTTTCTCCATTACTACCTCCTACCGCCTTCCCTTGAATAGAATGTGTGGTAATTATGCCTGCGTTTGGGGGAACTCTTAGTCTAGATAGAGTCATAATGACCGTACATTCCATTCGGGAGAAGACGGTAGGTCCATTCGGGATGTCAGTGCCACATGGGCATGACTGAAATTCACCTCCCTCCCCCCCCCCCCCCCCCCCCCCCCCCTTCTCTCCCTCTTCTTCTCCTTCACCTCCCTCCTCAACTATTTGGTCAGACCACAATCTGCAGAAGAAACCAACAAATTTCAAAATGGCATAGGCTGCTACCTAACAGCAGGATGTTTTCTCTTTTTCCTTTCCCCGACACTTCGTAGTTTTTCCCCTCAACACCACAGCAAGTTGGATGGGTGGGCGCTATTTGAAGGGCCCCTTTGAAGAGTAGCTACCAGACTTTTGAATACAAATGACCATGCACAGCAACTCAAGAGGAAGCTAAGCCCTCTATAAATAACCATGCCACCTCCCTTTTGCCCTCCCTCCATTGCTCTCATACACACACGCGCGCCCACCCACCCACAAGTTTGATGGGTGGGCGCACTTTGAAGGCCCCTTTTGAAGAGAAGCTACCAGCCTTTTGAATACAAATGACCATGCACAGCAACTCAAGAGGAAGCTAAACCCTGTATAAATAACCATACCACCTCCCTTTTTTTACCCTCCCTCCATCGCTTTAATAACCCCCCCCCGCACACACACACAAGGTTGGTGTGAGTAAAGTCGACCGCTTTTCTCTCTCAGGGGTATCGCTAACTCTGGGCGGTGTGGTGAGTCCTTATCCATCAGTCAAATGCATCCTGGACAGAGTCCGCCCAGGTTCAACCTCCTGATGAGTCGGCAAAAGTTTGACAAAACAGTCTGGCACAGTCATGCTTTTTGTGCATGTACAGCGAATAACACACACACACACACACACACACACACACACACACACACACACACACACACACACACACACACACACAATGCAAACATTTGCATACACACACAAGCTGATACATAGTCTGGTTTTCCTTTGTTTGTTTTTTTCCACAGAAATGTACCATTTGATCCATTTCCCAATTTATGCGTTTCATCCTCGAAGGGCAAGGGGCATGCTAATCTATCTGCTCTGTATCGTTCAAACTTTAACGGATATCCCAAAGGACAGACAAGATACATACTCTTGTACCATCACACCAACAGCACAACATTTATGGCCAATGGTTAGCGACTCTGGTGAAGCTGACTGTGTAAAATAACTTCACTTAGTTTACTATAAATGATAAATGATGATAAATGATAATAGGGTCGAAGTGTGCAGCACGGTGGCACTCTCCTCCACCGTTGTTTGTCCCTTACCTGGGCACTAAAATTGGATGACGTGAGGCCTTTGCCTACTGTCACCCACCCAGCTCTTATGTTGTGATCCTCCCCAAAGAGCTCAAGTCGTCGCCTCCCCTGTACGAAATGCTCTATGATGTTATACAGCTCGTCTGGTTTGGCAGTACTGCCTGAAACAGAGAATATGACAGACAAGATAAAAAAAAGGACAGAAATTGTAAGAAAAAGATTTGTGCAGAACCAGATCAGCAAAATTGTGAAATTAGTTCAAATTACTAATAGCGCACATCAACAAGGGGGTAGCGCAGGTTCGCATGCCTGCCCCCAGGGAACCATATGTTGCTGATGCCACGCCTACGGTCAACATGCACGCATTGAGCAATTTAAGCCTCCACTCCCCTCACCGCAAGAAACTTTGAGGGACCGGTAGCACACGTTCATGAGGGCTACCAGTAGCTTAGTGCGGTGGCGGCGGCTTTGCAACTTCGTATTGATGCAGCTGCTCTGATTTGTCGTTGTCCCGGTTGACAGCCCCCTTCTCTTCGGGGAAGGGGGTCAGTCCTGTCGGAACGGCACCATACTGTAGAATTCTCGGCAGACAAATATCTTGGCCCTCGTGCAGTGAAATGCGATACTCAATGTGAATTGCAGAAATCCGTGAGCCATCGATACTTTGAATGCACGTGGCGCCCAAGGCTTCTGCCAAGGGCACGCCCGGCTGAGCATCATTGGATTCCTCACGACCTCCGTTTCCTAGTGTGGTGGCAAAAATACAAAATGCATCAAATTGCTGCTGCGATTTATTTCATAGTCAAATTTTTTTTTTTTTTTATCAAATATTTCAGGACCAAATCTACAGGCATTCCAAATTTTGGATATTTTGACGCATTCTTTTGAGCGCGAGAAGTCGCTGCAGTACATTTTCCCTAACGAAAATCGCATTGGCCCACACGTGACAGCGGCAAGATGAAAGATGCGCCAAATCAGCACAACGATTTATTTCACGTTCAATTTTCTTTTTTCTTTCACTTTTCTGATATTTTTTCCTGGAAAGATCAGCACTTAACTATTGGATCCCAAAATTTGAGACTTTTCCATGCATTCATCTGTGTGATAAAAATTGACAAAAGTTGGCGGCGCTTAGCGCTGCTGCTTTTTTTTTTTTTAATCGCTTCCGACAGTCCGGGAAAGCCAATTTTCGACTGTCGGGGTGGTTGGCGGTTTGAAGCAGCGCAAGTTCACTCTCCACCTTCGTGCAAACAGGGCACAAGCGTGGTGGCACGGACAGCGAAGATGCAAAATAGGCCTGCAAACACACTATGTTTCCCTCCGTGTTCTCCTCTCTACTGTCTTCTCCCAAACACAAGGCACAATCACTGAAGCTGCATTTGGCGCCAAAGTCAGTAGGTCTCCATGTTCTGCCCCCCCCCCTCTTTTTCCCTGGTTCTTCGAATTGCGCTCGACTTGGCGCAATTTCAACAATACCAAACTTCAGGAAGGGTTCGACTACTACAACAAACAGTGAACCGTGCTTGGCCTTCGTCTCAGGTATTCCAACCATGAAATAGATGGAGATGGCTTCTCCAGGCTGGGCACTAGGATGCCCAGAGGCATTAAAAAAAAACATAAGGCCACTGGCTCCTCCCTTTCGGTCACTAATATGCCACACAAGTTCTGACGTAGTTCCTCGCTCCACTACTCTACGTTCGACAAGTAGCAGGACTGCCACACAGACCAGATACATTTGGACCTAAGAGGCATAATATCTGCAGAACATTTAGTACACTATGTAGTGGAGCGAGGCGCATACTTCAATGAGTCACTGTGCATTGTGCTCCAGCATTTAGTACACTATGTAGTGGAGTGGGGCCCATACTTCAATGAGTCGCTGTCCATTGTGGTCCAGTAGACTATGGAGTGGAGCGAGGCGCATGCGCCCATGCCCAACTCCTTTCCTCCAGCAAGTCAAAGGGTTACGAAGATAAGACCTGCCAATCTCCTCCACATTCATTGGCACAGGAAATGGCAATTGTCTCCGATGAGACAAAAGTCCATCAGCCATACTCTATCGCACGTACAAGCAAACTGGCTCTCACAGAAAGGCAGTTCTCATATGTGTGATAAATTAATATTATTTGAAGTTTGAACTTATTTCATTTCTCGAATGCCAGACCCGTTTTCCAGCAGGTGCTTCTCCCCACCAGTAAAAAAAAAAAAGAACATCGTTCAGGAAAGACAAACAAACAAACAGACCAAATGGCAGACGTGGTGGCAGTCATCAGAGGAAGAGTTCAGGAGGGGGTGACTCCTACGAGACAGGGAGGCGGTCAATGGGAGAATAGTTTGCTGTGAAGTTGATTGCATGGGGTGAGAGAGGGGAAAGAGGCCGAGACAAACAAGGACAGTGTAGACCAGGTGAACACCGAGGACTGCATTTGACCTGGGTGCAGACCAGGGAGGCTTAATGGGCTGTTGTGGGGGGTTCAGGGAAGCTAAGGAGACATGGAGAAGGTCATTGGGGCCATGGTTTACTGTTATGCTGCATGGGGCAAGAGAGGGGAGAGAGGGTGAGCCCGAAAGGGATTTAGTAGACCAGGTGCACACAGAGGACTGCATTTGGCCTGGGTGCAGACCAGGGAGGCTTAATGGGCTGTTGTGGGGGGGGGGTCAGGGAAGATAGGGAGACATGGAGAAGGTCACTGGGGCCATGGTTTACTGTTACGCTGCATGGGGCAAGAGAGGGGTGAGAGGGCGAGCTGGAGAGGGATTTAGTAGACCAGGTGCACACAGAGGACTGCATTTGGCCTGGGTGCAGACCAGGAGGTCTAATGCCTGGTTCATTGCAACATGGAGCAGGGCCCCACTGGATAATTGGTGAACCACTGAGGAAATCAGACGGTCAAATTAATAGACCAGGTGAACACAGAGGACTGCATTTGGCCTGGGTGCAGACCAGGGAGGTCTAATGCTGGTCCATTGCAACAAGGAGCAGGCCCCCGACGACATCCGACGGTCAAAATCACAAGCTAAAGGTAAATGCACTAGAGGCAGGGGTCCAATTTCAAAACCTAGATCAACACACGGGTCAGTGTGGCCTGCGCTTGCTCTAAGAGCATAGTCAAACTAGGAATTTCCAGCACATATCAGACCCCAATCACAGCTGGTCCTGGATGCATCTGATGGCAATCACGTCCAAACTGCCGCCTTCCCCCGAATGGAACGTACAGTAATTATCCCTGTATCTGGACTGAAAGTTGCCGCGGATTCAGGCATAATCACAGTACATTCTACTCAGGGGAAGACAGTACTGTGAGTACACACTGAGGATCTAATCTTTCTTCGAGCACTGAAGCATTGGTGCAAGAAACAACCAGCGTTCAATTATCGGCTATTACAGCATACTCAGAAAAGCTCCTCCAGATGTATATCACCGCAAATACAACCAGGTTCAGTTCAGAAAAATCCTATTGTGAGTATGCCCTCACACGAGTTCCACCCCTAGGCTCGAAGAAAGAGTCGAGCCTAGACAGTCGTAACAAGTGCTCTCCGAACCGTGCGAGACGGTCGCCCATCACACGGCTCTCCAACTATCCCGATTGACTCCATGAACTTTCTTCGAGCACCGGGCATGAACATGGTGGATGGCAGCAGGAGTTTTCCATGAGCAAAGGATCTGGTCCGCAAATACAACCAGGTTCATGCTAATCCATGAAAGCAATAATGCAGCAGGAGTTTTCCCTCAGCAATGGATCTGATCCACTGAAACGAGCCAAGTACTCGTCAAGTTCAACTTCGCATACATCAATGAACATTCACATGAGAGTTCACACGTGACAAGCCAAATCGAGATACATTCAACACTTGAAGATGTCGTCTATTATCAATATAAAAGAATGTTCGTCTCTAGCGGCTTTGCCTCACACACGCAATAGCGGCTATGGCTTCTCCCCTCTCTCTCCCTCTCTGACTTGACTCGCTCTGCCTCACTCTCTCTTGTCTCTCTCTCTCTCTCTCTACCCTGGATCGTTACCCTGGATACACCCACTCAGGTTGCTCACACCTCAGTGGCTATGGCGGCCATCCTCCTGCTCTATGTCTAGCCTAGCTATGGAGTATCTCTCAAGCACCCTCTTCTTCTTCAGGTGCACAGTGCCCAAGTCGCCTTAACGCACAAGCAGCCAGCAGCAGCGCTTCCGCATCTTGCATCTGAACAAGTGATGAGCCGCTGCACTGTCGCAGCTAAATATAGGACTTGGCTTCGCTGGGCTTGGATTGCCTTGGCTTGGCCTGCTTCAGACTGATACGGGTCGGCCGCGGCCTGTCTGCTGCAAACATTTTGTAGGTCCGGGAGCTTCCGGACTTTCCTGGGACATGCTGCAAAATTGGACTTGGGACTGCCGGACTGGACTTTTCTTTTCGGGTACCGGAATGACTCCTACCGACCTATGGCGCTTCGGTACTGACACGGCCCACGACACTTTGGCCTCTAGCCCCTACGGCCTACCCTACTGGACGGCCCTGAGACTTGGGACTTGTTGGGACCCTGGGACCGGGACTGGGTGTCTGCAGCGTGAATCCTTTCACTCCCGCCGGCCTACTTTCAAGGTCCTCCGAGAAAAATCACAACTTTATTGATCATACACATTCACTCCCCATCCAGCCCTCTCATAATAGGAGACAATGTGAGGGGCCGTCTGTATTAGTTCTTCACTAAAGAACCAGCGGTCTTCACTGGGCTCCTGGTAGGCAAACCTGACCATATATTGCTGCTGTGGCCTTCCTCTGCAACCTGTGCGGAAAATATCTTCGACCACTATTCGGTCTACATCATAACCTCCGTCCATATCTGGTGGAATCATGGAACACCGAGAGGGAAACTGGTCGTTCGTAATACAGGGAAGCAACTTAGATGCGTGGAATACCAGGTACGTGTGCAGGTGGGGCGGAATCTTGATCGTGTAGGACGGACCAACTGCCTCTCTCTTTTGACATCTAAGACTTGCCATGGTCCCCTATATGCAGGTAACAGTTTCTTCGAGATCTTTTCTTCGGGAACGAACTCCTTAGACTTAACCCATACCAGTCACCTACTGCAAACTGCGATGGTCGTCGATGTTTGAGCTTGTTCTACCATCTGGTGCTGGGCCTTAAGGATGTTCCTTTTAGCCTG